CCATACGCGCTGTTACAGTCAGTGGAACTCCAACCTGATAGTGAAAATGTTATTTTACAGGTTACATAATGTTGCTTCAAACTTTTGAAGGCCAGCAGTCTTCCTCTTTTGTCTGTAACGCAGTGCTGCAGCTTTCCTGTCCCAGTTTGAACAGAGCCACTCTCTCTCGGTCCTCTCAACCCGCCTTTTAACTGAGTTGCTGGAATTTTTTCTACTGACACCGACACTGCTGCACTGCAGAGTGAAGCCACAAGTCCTCAGTGTGTATGTGGGAGCGTTTGTATATCCTGTAGAGCTTATAGTGACACACCTTAACAAGCAAGTCACCCCCTCTACTGTGTGTGTGAGAGAGGCAGAGAGACGGTGGGTAAAAAGGAGAGCAGATTTGGTAGATTGTGTGTGTCTGTGTGTGTGTGTGAGCACTGAGTGGGTGGCTCATATTCAAATTTGTTTGATCCTTTGCCATCCCAGCTAATAAATAATAGGGGACCATTTCCTCTGGCAGCCAGCCAGCCATCTGTTCAGTGCACACGCACGTACAGAGAATACACACATACTGCTGCTGTAATTGAATCAAATAAATAAATAAAGCCTGATCTGCTTACCATACACACACAGCAAGTGGTGTTATTGATGGGGCAGCAGTGTGTGCACTATAAGCAAAATGTGCAGCGCAGAGCGATCATCATAAAGTGAAGTCTGGTAAATGGCAGCGGTCGGGTCCCTGAAGGGACAGAGCTGTTGATAATAAATATTTAGTACTCTGCAACATTTGGCTGAAAGAACAAAGGCTGATATTCTGTGCAAATCCTCCAATATTCAGGAGGTAAAAGTATTTTACCAGCAAAACGTTGGTAGAGTTTATTTGTATTATCAAGTATAATGCCACCCAGATTACATTAACTCACGGTGAGTCATTTTAAAATCAATATTGAATTAAAAGCTGCAAGAAGCGATGATCGGGCCCTCGCACTCCACGCGTGTTGGGGGTTGTGCTGCTGCTGTGTCGTGCGCCAGTGTATCCTGTGTGGACCACGACAGGAAAATGTCATGAAAAACGCAAAGGAGTGAAAAATAGCTTATGACAATTTTCAGGGAGAATCGTCAAAATCCAACACCACAGCAAAAGCATGCCGTTGCACAGCTTTTAGTCATGAATGTCTTTAGATCGAACTGAACAAATTTAAAGTCGATCCAATAAATTCCCTAGGAGGAGACCATGACCATTAAATTCAAAATGGGTGAACCTGGTGGGTTGGGGGTTAGGGTCCAAGAGGATTTTTTTCCTTGTCTGGCCATGATACACGTGCGTACCAATTTTTATACATGTCTGTCGTACCTGTCTTGGGGGCTTATGTGGGGGGCTAGCGTGGCTAAGCCATTCTGTGATGCCCATGTATGGAACCAATAGAATACATACATTTCTCCTAACATTGATTTTTGTGCCAGGTTTCATGAGTTTTCGAGCATGT